GAGCACCATCCCAGTCCCAGAGCGACAGTCCAGTGGGGAGGGCACTTGCCTTGCATGCGGCCAACCTGGGTTCAGTCCCTGGCATCCCATACGATGCCCCCAGCACCCCCAGGAGTGATCCCCACGTGCAGAGCCAGGAGTAACCCCTGAGCATTGCCCGGTGTGGCCTAAAAACCAAGAAGGAAAAGGACAAAGAAGTAGTCGTCCCACCCTTCGCCCCCAAGACCTCCCAAATGTGGCTTGGTGCTCAGGCCCGGAGGGAGAGCAACACATGGGCCCAGCCAGGGCCTCACTGGGCAGTGCGGACGGATCTCATGGGACTGGGGTTGGACTTGGGGCCTTAAGGCTCAGTGGAGTTCTCCCCCACCCCAGGGACCACATGTCTAACGCCTTCATTGTACTTGACCAAGGCCAGCAAGTCCCCAGCCCCAAAGACGTTCTTGAGATGCGGCATGTTCAGGGGGGTTAGCCAGAAATGAGTTGGAGACCAGCCCCCTCTGTTGCATCTTTGCAGGATTCTTGCCCTGTCGGGTGAGAGACTGTGACCTTGGGGAGTCTGTGACCTTGCCAAGGTCAAGGGCATGACCTCCTGCTCCGGGATGATAGTACCATGGGGAAGGCGCTTGCCCGGCATGTGGCAGACCTGGGTTTGCTTCCCGGTACCATAAATGCTTCCGTGAGCCCTGCCAGGGGTGATGCGGAGTGGAGGCAGGTGTGAGCTGGGTGTGGCCCCTAACAAAAAACAAAAACCAGCAAAAATAAACACCCCAAACTAAAGCCAGTGTGACTCAGTCAGGCCCCTTCACAGCTCCTGTTTCTGTCTCCTCTACGAGCTGGAAAAAAATAAAAGCACTTACCTCACTCCCGCTCTCGCCCTGCCCTCAAAGGGGCCAGGAAGTGCCACAGACACGTTGCTTTTATTATGCACCAGAACCTAGAACCAGGGTAACTGGATGGAGGCTGCGTGTTCAGGGGCACGAGTAAAGCTCAGCACCAGGGGTGCATGTGTGAGGGCCCCCAGCTCGGCCCCTGGGACGGCATGGCCCCTTCTCAGGGTGCTGTGGGCCCAGAGCCCCGGGCTTCTTTTTTCCTTTTTGAGTCACACCCGACGATGCTCAGAGGTTCCTCCTGGCTCTGCACTCAGGAATGACTCCTGGCAGTGCTCGGGGAACCCTATGGGATGCTGGGAATCGAACCTGGGTTGGCCATGTGCAAGGCAAACGCCCTACCCGCTGTGCTATTGCTCCAGCCCAGAGCACTGGACTTAAGTTGTCAGAAGTGGCCCTGGGGCCCCCACCACGGCCAGGGCGCCCCCGAGTGAATGCAGTGGGGTTCCCTGTAGAGCGCGTGCTGTCTGGGGAGCAGCCCCTGTGTCTTAGGGGGATGCAGGGACCCTTGGCGTGAGGGGCCCTCAGTGCCGGTGGGCGGATGAGGGTGTATGAAGCATGCCCAGTACCCCTCCTGAGCCCTGGTTCTCTGTCTCCCTCAGAACTGTGGCCCCAAAGAGCTGGCTGTGGCCCAGAATTAATCAGAGCTGGGGGCACCTCAGGGGCTGGCTGTGTACTTGAAGGTGTCGGGGTGCGGCTGAGCACAGGGACACTCTCCCCAACACGACTTGGCAGAGGGGCACAAAGGAGGGTGCCCTGGGAATTCCAGTTCTGTTGGGGGTGGGGTGGACTGGGGCCGCTTTGGGGCTTGCTTCTGGTTCTGCATTCAGGAGTGACCCAGGGCACTGCTCAGGAACCCCTCTGGGGCCCGTGGGATCCAACTGGGGACTGTCACGTGCGAGGCACATGTCTTACCCGTTACATTGTCTTGCTGGCCTGGGCTGGGGCCCACCTTGGAACTGTGTCCTTTGGCCAGGCCACCTGGCAGCCCCTGAATTTTCCCCGGGCAGCTTCTTTCTCCATCACTCTCTTGTGTGGGAACAGTAGAGGAGAGGTCGGCGAGGCCGCGGCTGGGGAGAGCGGAGGGGCTGCTCTGGCCTCCTTAGCACACGAGGCAGGCCCCGTCCCGGGATTTTCTGCTCTCCCCGGGTGCTTCCCAGCTGACTGTGCGGTTGCCTGCCCGGGGGGATAGGGACAGCAACGGGCATGGGCTAGAAGCCTGGGCAGTGATGTCTCACCAATGCAGGGAACCTGACCCCACTGCTCACTGCCCACTGCCACCTGCACCCAGCCAAGATGAAGGAAAGTGAGAGACTTTGTTTTTAACACAGTGATCCGTGCACATGGGTCTCAGGGGGAAAGGGCGCTAGAGCAGGGGCCTTCAGCCCACCAGAGCACAAAACAGCTGAAAACCACACACCTACCGGCCACAAATGGAGTGAGCTCCTTCACTCTGCCCCTCCCATCTGGAGAGAACTTGGACCTGCAGACATCAGCTGTGGTACCCTTTATCCGGAGAAGCATCAGCTCTCCTGCCCCCCCACTGCTAAAGTGTGATTTGCCGTATCTGCCCTTGTAACTTCAATGTCGAAGACTTTCTTCCTTTCTCTTCTTGGGGGGCACCTGTTGGTGCTGATGGAGGGGGCTTACTCCTAGCACAGTGCTGGGGGTGGGGGGGTTGTCAGTGAACCAGTTGGCGATGCGAGAGAACCAGGCTCTCAGCCTGGCTCTCGCCCGGGCCCTACCAGCTTTGAAAACTTCGACCTCTGGGGGCTGTGTGGAAAATACAAATGACCAGAGACTCGCACCTGATTGGCTCACTGGGCTCTGGGACCGGCTAAAGCCTGCCCCTCCCCCTCCTTTCCATTCTGTGCCCCCGCCCTGCCAGATTGGTGTGCTGGGGAGTGGGAAGGAATGGAGATCCCGGCTGGCATCCTACCCAGGAATTGGGGGCATCCTGGGGCCAGGCGACTGGGTGGGTTCTAGCCACAGATGGCAACAAGGTCCGAAGAGAAGCTGAGCGCCGGGAGGGAATGCCCTCGGCCTCTCCTTCCCTGGGGCCGCTGGGTGCAAGCTGCAAACAGCAGAACTCTGGAACCCACAGACTCGGGCATATGGGCGCCGAGGGGGCAGGGAATCCCACAGTGCTCTGGTGGTGGGGGTGGGATGGGGGCATTTAAAGGGGCTCAGACCAGGTTCTCGGCCCAAGCTGCACATCTGTAACGGGAGCTGCGGATAAATCCTTAGGCCCAGGCCCCAGACCCCATTACTGAGAAAGCCTGGGGCCAGCCGTGGACCCCAGTGGACTCCAAGCTGCTGGGCGACCCCTCCAAAGGCAGGAGGGGCAATAGCCCTCAAGCCTCAGCGTGCCCGCTGCCCTCACTAGGAGGCGGGGGGGGGGGTAGTGAGACTCACAGATGGCCGGTCCTGTCCCCAGAGCAGCATCCACACCTCAGGGACACTGCGGGAGAGTGTTGGAAGCCAGGAAGGGTCATTAGAACCAACTTCCTTTCTTCCTTCCTCCCTTCCTCCCTTCCTCCCTCCCTCCCTCCCTCCCGCCCGCCCTCCCTCTGTGCTGGAGCAAATTCAGGTCATACCAGGTGGGCCTCAGGGACTCCTCCTAGTTTGATGCTCAGGGGCCACTCCCTGTCATTTCTTGGGACCATGCAGTGCCAGAGACTGAGCCTGGGTGATGTGTGTGCTGCAGCCCCTCCAGCCATCTCCTCAGTCTCACTGGCCCACTCAGAGGCTGCGGGAGCCTGTGTCCACCTAGACAGTGTCATAGTGTTGTTCTTGGGCCTGGCCAGGGGCCATGCTAGTCAGAGGGAGGTCGGGACGAGGCAGGCGGGATTCCCGAGTTCTGCCGTTCCTGAGAACAGTAGCCTGCCCCCACCTGCTCCCGGAACAGTGCTCTCCCACTCAGCACTGAGAAGAGAGGGGGTTCAGGTTAATGCAGTCGGGCATCAACACCGACATCTGGTGCAGGCGCTGCACACCTGGAGCACAGGTGTATTCCAAGAGACAGGACCTGGGGCCAGGGAGGGGAGGCACTTGCCTTGCTCATGACTGACCGAGTTAAGCCCCCCCCCCCCCCCCCAGTCTGTGGGGCTTTGGGCATGTCTGCAAGAGTCCAGGGCCAAGGCCAGTGGCCATCACCCCATCCAAAGGCAGAAACACCCGGCAGCCCTGAACCTTGCATGTGAGTGGCTGCCTTAGGGGCCGGGCCAGCTGGGGAGGTGCTGACCCCATCATGGCTGTCTTGGGCTGGGCAGCCTCTGGCCACAGGGAAATATTTATTCTGTTTGTACACTCAGAGGTCAATAAAACTCATTTTCTAGGGGCAAAAAAAAGAAAATCCCATAGGGTCCCCCAAGCCAAGAGTGATCCCTGAGCGCAGAGCCTGGAGTCAGCCCGGAGCACAGCCAGCTGTGGCCCAACTTCCCCCATTGATCCCCCCACCCCCCACCCAGTTCCCACAGTCCTAGGTGGGGGTGGAGAAGTGGTTTCGACTGGGATCAATTTCACTCACAAACAGTTCAGCGTTGTGTTCACCAATGATGCCAGGAGCCCCCCCATCTCATGTCACCCAGACCTTGACCCCCAAGTTTCTCCGCTGGCCTTGTGCGGCCTCCAGCCATCTCCCCAGTTTGTATGTTTGGCCATGAAACTGGGAGCAGTGACAGATAGTGGGGGGGGTGAGTCGAGAGCAGGGAACCTATGATTGATCGTCTTCAATTAAAAAAAAAAAGGGCTGGAGTGATAGCACAGTGGGTAGGGCGTTTGCCTTGCATGCGGCCGACCAGGGTTCGATTCCCAGCATCCCATATGGTCCTCTGAGCACCGCCAGGGATAATTCCTGAGGGCAGAGCACTGAGTAACCCCTGTGCATCGCCAGGTGTGCAAAAAAAAAAAAAATCCTTCCTACAGTTCCTCAGGGCTGCCACAGATGCCTCTGGCCACCTTCTGAATGGCCAGGAAGGTTCTGGAAAGCTGCGCCAGGAGCGCAGTGGCCCCAGGCCCTGCCATGGTGAACCAGAGCTGGAGTGGGGCAGGGGTCCGGGGCTGTGCAGGAGGGTCGCCTTCCCTGACGCATGCTCTCTCTCTTGTTTGCAGTGCACTGCAGTATGGAGGACGACGACTAGGCAGTCTGGCCAAGGTTGGATGCAGGGCCACGTCCAGAGCCTGTGCCCCCAGTTGGGGGTTGGCAGGTGACCGCGGTATCTTGCCCTGCGCATGCTAGACTTAACTAAAGACCTGTTTTAGGGCCCTTCATCCTAAGAAAGAGCCTGCCTCCACCTCCCACGCACACCATTCCCAGGTTTTTTCCTTTATTTTTATTTTATTTTTTGGCGGGGGGAGTGTCACATCTGGCAGTATTCCGTGCTCTGCACTCAGGATCACTCCTGGCTAGCCAGGGACCATCTGAGGAACCAGGGGATCGAACCTGAGTGAGCGGCATGCAGGGCAAGAGCCCTCCCCGCTGTATTATTGCTCTGGCCCCCAGATTTTTTTTTTAATCCTTTATCTGGAAATTTCTTCCCTGTTCCTCACCAACTGTCTGACAATGTACGACGGGGTTTGTGTGTGTGGGGGGTGGGGGGCTCTAGTTTTTGTTCCCAGCTCAGGACCACTTTTGCCAAAGGGCCTTGTATTTTACATCTAAGTCCCTGAGCTCTGCAGGTGAGCGCTCTTTCAGTAATAAATTGAGAAGGCATTCTTCCTCGTTTCTGCATCTCATTTTCCCCCTTCCCATTTCCAAAGGAGACTGGCCCTTCATTTGTTACTGTCCACCCAGCGTGATGAGACCAGTCAGGGACCCAGGACAGGCCACCGAGTTCCATGGTCCCGGCCCGAGGCACACTGGAGATTGTCTGGTTTTGTGGGTTTTGAGGAGGTGTGTTTTGTGCCAAGTGTGGATGGGGACTGGGCCTCGCCTGTTCCTGGCCACCCTGCCGTGGCCTCCAGAAGGCCCTTGAGCCTGAGCTTGGGCTGGGTGGTTGGGACATGCTACCACACATCTTACATAAATAGTAAAGCCTTTATTGTCGTGTTATGAACAGCGTTTGGAAAATAAAACCTATCCGGCCCATGCTTTACAATCTTTTAAATAAATGCATTGGAGTATTTATAGACAGTCATTCAGGAGTACACATTGATTGTCCTGAAATTTCTTGAAAAATTTTTAAATATATATATATATATATATATATCTATATCTATGTCTGCAACAGTTGGCCCGGGAGGGTGAAGGTACCTTATAAAACACACCATGAATGCGTTTCATAAATATATATTATCCCTTATCAAAAAAATGAGCCGCGGCTCTTGATCAGTGAGTAAACAGCACCTGCTGTAAAGCTCAGGGTGCGGGCCTAGCAGAGTCTCGCTGCCTGCGCCCCTGTGAGCTGTGGGTTCAGCCCTGGCTAAGCAAGAAGAGCCCCCGCCCCAAAAGTTGATCCCCACTTTCAACAACCCAGCCTTCAGCCCTAGCAACACGCAGAACTTTCTGGCCGCTGGCACCTGGAAAACCCCTCTCCACGCAGGCCACACTCCCAGCCCAGAGCGACAGGAACGCGGTGTGTGTGTGTGTGTGTGTGTGTGTGTGTGTGTGTGAGAGAGAGAGAGAGATAGCAGCTCTGAGGGTCCCGGGGTGGGGGTGGGGGGCTGAAGTCAGGGGCTTGTGCTTGGTTAGGTGCCTGCGCCCTTCCTTACCCCCCCAAACTGCCCTGTTCACATCCTCTGCAGCCCGTCAGCCACGGTACCATTGATGCTGCAGAAGGGATATGTGTGGGGCAACCCTGACTGCTGGGATGTCGGTGGGGGGCGGCTCTGTGCCCTGCAGGTGTCGGCCAGGTGCACCGTGCCCGCCCCTCCCTGCCTCTGTCCAGCACCCCCACCCACTGAGGCACGGGTGCGAGAGGGTCCCGGCCAAAATAAAAGCAAGCCCAGAAGCACAAGAACGCATCAGAGATTTTGAAAGCCAAGCCAAGCCAAGCGGTCTGCTGGGGGGTGGTGTTTTCCAGGGGAGGGGGGGGCGCCGCGGGGCAAGACTCCGCTCCTTGGGCGGTGGGATCCCTGTATCCCAGCGAGAGCCTTTCCTGGGGTGCTCACCTTCGGCGCCAAGAACTGAGAGAGAAAGCGATCGTGAGAACGGCTCCCCTCTGCAAGGGGCCTGGGGGACTCTTGCAGACCGAGTGCCCGGGAGGTCTCAGAGCGCTCCAAAGGACTCCAGAGAGCGGGGCTGGACCACCAGTTCCTGGCACGAGAATGTGGAACGCTGTCATCGGTCACCCCTGAGATGGCCGTTTGCAGAAGGCTGGGTGTGCATGCAAACCCCCCCAACCCCACCTTCCCTCCCTGCCCACCCTCCATCCCCCCAACACCTGCTTTTGTCCCTCCCCCATCTCTCCTCAGGGTCCAGCCCACCCAGTGATGAACCCAGAGTCTCCAGAAGCCAGCACGTGCTCTGGGCAGGTAGCAAGGACCATGCAGTTCCCGCCCCTTCCTCCCAGGTGCAGTTCACACCAGATGTACTAGCTGGGGGTGGGGAGCGGGTGGGGGGGTGGTGTCGACTCTGGAGGGCAGCCTGTGCCCGAGCACGCATGGGTGTGCAGCGGGGAACCTGATGGGCTTCCCACAGGGTGTGGGGGGCTGCAGGGCGAGGGCAAGGACACAGAACACTAGGGCCGGGGGGGGAAATCAGAAGGTTTATTAAAACGCGCTCAGCTCCGACACTGGCTTAGGAAGAGGTCAGCTTCTCTCTTCACCACCCCCGGCAACACTAACCTTTTTTTTTTCATTTTTCTTGAAAGGTTAAAGTAAAGGCTTAGGGGTTGTTTTATGGAGGAAAAAGGAAAATTAAAAAAAAAAGCAATATAGGCATTAGAAGATGTGCACAAAGACCCACCAGCCTGCATTCCGCACTCCGGGCCCGTCCGGTTCGAGCTCGCGTGGTCGCGCGCCATTCTGCTGGCCAAACAGCGCAGAGGACATGGGGCGTTGGATGACCGGGACATGGGAAATGCCAAGAACCAAGGAATGACTCGTTCAGGACAGATGGAAACCGAGACGCAACGATGGCTGGGAAGAGAACCGTTCTCAGGGAACTCGCAGAGAACCAAGGCAGAATGTCTGGGAAGTTTCCCCCAACAGCTTCCTCTCACCCCCGCCCGGAAAAGACCCTGTGCATGCCTGTACCCCAGGCCCGGAGGGGGGTGTTGGGATGGGGTAAGATAACCACAGAGGGCACCCCCCGGAATTCTCCATGACCTCATCGTGGATGACTTGCCACCAGGGTCAGGGTTGGGAGCCCGTGGCTCTCGCCGAGCTCGAGAAATAAACTTGGGAGATAAGCCAGCCGGGGCCAGGAGGAGCCCCCCTCCGCCTGGGAGTGGAGCAGGCAGAAGGAGCCATGTGCCACACACTCTGCCACAGATGGGACGGGGGCACCACTTACTTTTTTTTTTTTTTGCTTTTTGGGTCACACCCGGCATTGCGCAGGGGTTACTTCTGGCTCTGCACTCAGGAATTACCCCTGGCGGTGCTCAGGGGACCTATGGGGTGCTGGGAATCGAACCCGGGTCGGCCGTGTGCAAGGCAAACGCCTTACCCGCTGTGCTATATCGCTCCAGCCCCAGGGTCTCCCCTTTCTAAACGGGAGGCATCTGTGGGCCCCCCAGCCTTCTCTTCTTTGGTCCTCGCCAGGGCCCCTCCACCACTAACTGGTGGGAAAGCTCCCCTGACCCCGTAACTCCAGGAGCCTGGCGGCCACCTCCTCAGCAGTCCCTGGTGGCCCTGAAATGTGCAAACTCCGGTGGTGAGCTCTGGGCAAGTGCCCGCTTCTCAATGTAGCCCCCGGCACCACCCCCACACCCCCACTCCTTCCACGCTGGCCCCTGTGAAATGTGGTTCTGTTCGACCCCCGGAGCATGAACCTGTGCTCCCAGCCCCGTTTCCCAGTGAGCCTAATACTATCTGCAAGGAGCTTGGCTTTAGTTGGCAAGGACTGAGGTCGGTTTGGTATGAGTTGTGTGCGCGTGTGCGCGCGCGCCTGTGTGTGCATGTTGGGGGTGGGGGGAGGGCAGGGCAGTCGGGGTTAGCTCTTCAGTTCAGCGGTGTTCACACTGACACAAGGTACCCCCCTCGCTCCGGGATTTCCAAACCTCCCGACTGTGGGGGCCGTAGCCGGGACACCCTCAAGAACGGCAGAGCCAGGGGGTAAAATCGGGAGAAGAGAGAGACTTATTGTCTGGAACTATCAAGTCTTTCACCAGAGTTGTCTTCCAGTGTAACTTGGCGGAGCAGTTGGGATCTGGAAGCAAGGATAACACACTGAGAATTCCGTGCTTTGCAACAGCGGCCTGCCGCTCCAGTTCCCTCACGCCGCGACCAAGGGGTAGGGACCTGGCTTGTTTCTGCCCGGCCGGAAACTTCCAAGGAAAGTGACTTCAAGTGCTGGGGAGTGGGGTGGGGTGGGGACCCCTGCACGGGAAGATCTTCATCCCTTCTGTGCCATCAAACACCCCCACAGAAAGGTCCGCCCCCGCCCCCCGGATGTGTCTGAAGCCCAGAGAGTTTGGGCCTGCCTCGAGCCGTGACTATATTTGATCTCACTCTGCAACTGCAGGTATAGTTGCAGGTCACACTGGCACCTCACCGTAAAATAGGCCACGGGTGGGTGGCGGGGGAGATGAGGGCGCTTCGGAGGGCGTATCTGGGAAACCCAAGTTCCCCAAAGAGACCCAAAACCATCTCTGATGTAGAATTAAAAAAAAAAAAAGCAAGAAAAGAAAAAAGGAAAAGAAAGGGAGGAAAAAAAAAAGGCTGAGACTGAACCATGGAATCGGCGTATGAGAGGATGGAAGGCTAAGGGGTGCGCGGACGTTTCTGGAAGAAGCATGAAGCCATGTTTGGAAACTAAGCGTGGGGATGAGAAGGGCGTTGCGGCATCACGGCGGAAGCACGAAGGATGCCGCCGGCCCGGGAAGCGAACACACACACAGGATGAGGGTTCTGCGGGGCTCTGTTTGGCACCAGAGGGAAAAAAAGTGGGCTCTGCGCTCCCGGGAGGAAAACAAAACATACCTTCCTCTCCCCCCCGCCCAGTTTCTTCTCCTAGACAGCTCTTAAGGAGACCGAGGTGGGCTGGGGGACACTCAATGTCCAGCAGAAAATGTCCAGCGGGACCGAGAGATGCGGACCTGGGGGGATGCCCATGAGACTGGCTGGGGGCTTCTTTGATACTTGAGCTTTTCCAAAAAGCCACTTTCCACAGGGAGGGGAATTGGCCTCTGGCTGTGGAAGAGTAATGGGGGGGTTCCGAGACCCCCAGCAGGAAGGGGCGGGCTGGCTATCGGGGGTCTTCAGAGAGGAGGGGGGGCGACGGAAGCGGAGCATGCTCTCTGTGTGTGCGGCAGTCCCCCGAGCTGAACCTGCGCCCGCTGCGTCCCGGCCCGGACGGCACCTCCGGATACTTACGGTCCCGCCGTTGAGCACCACAGCCATCTCTGTGGGCTGATACACGTTGCTCCGGAAGGGCGCGCTGGGTCTGTTCCCCAGGCTGCCGTTGCGGAATCCTGCCGTGCGCAGAGCTGCCGGGAGGCGGGGACCAGGCACGCCACCAGGAGGGGGGGAGGGGAGCAACAAAACAAAACCAAAAAAAAGGGACAGGAGTTTGTTTCCTCACAGGCATCAACTCCCAGCTCCAGGCAACCCCCCCTCCCCTCCACTCCTCCCCTTTGTCACAAGCCTGAACCAAAACAAAAGTCACACAAAGGGGCCTTTGTTCTCCGGAGCGCCGGGCGCCTGACCCTGCTCGAGTTTGTGGAATCCGGAGCACAGGCCAGGCTCAGGGGGAGGCGGCCCAGGGCTGAGGCTCTGACCCTCCCCTGGTGGTCCCCTCTCCTCGGCCTCAACCCATCAGGCCACAGGAGACAAGGGGCTCCTTCTGCACGCCTGTGCTGGAAGACCCCCTGGAAGACCCCTCATCGCAGAAGGCCAAGGCGTGGGATTCAACGTCACGGGCTCCAGGCAGCTGGAGAACCCCAGCATGGACCTCAGGAGAAGGGGCTTCCGGGGAGAGAAGGGAAGGGCCCCATCCCAATTCTGCCACCACAGCACACCACACCCAGCACACTCAGGGCTGACTCCTGGCAGTGCTCCGGAACCAATGGGGGCCGGGGATCGAACCCAGGTCGGCCATATGCGAGGCAAGTGCCCTCCCCACTGTACTATCTCCCCAGTCTCTCTGTCAACGTGTCTTACCACCAAAGGTAGGCATCAGCTGTGTGTGTGTGAACACAGGAACCTCAGGAATCATCGCCATCAGAACTGCCGGATAATGTCTGACATATGTGGCACTCTGGGGGTTCGAACTCATGACCAAGTGCTTGTGAGATTTCTAAGCAGGTGCTCTCTGCCCACTATTCCTCCAGGCCCCAATTTCTTTCTTTCTTTTCTTTTTTGGTAATGAAAACTCAGTTATAAATTCACTCGGCTTACTGCTAAGTGAAGGAAGCCCAGCTATAAAAGCAAAAGCCATAGACTGTGAATCAATCCAACTGTAGTAATCTGGAAATGCCCAAACTCTAGAAGCAGTAAAAGAGATGAGTGAATGCCCAGGGTGGGGTTGGGGGGATACAATGAAGTCGCTTTTTTTTTTAAAGTTTTTGGGGTCACACGCTGTGATGACCAGGGCTTGCTCCTGGCTCCTGGCTCTTAGCAGGCTTGAGGACAGTGGAGCCCATGTCTCTCCTACCCCTCATTCAGGCCCCAGACCCAGCACTTTTGGGCGTGTAGCCATTCTGGAGGCCATCAAGTGACCAGGCTCTAGAGATGGCCTCATGGAATGCAGTTAATAAGTACAACTATCTAACCACAAGGGGCAACAATTGTAACACCAAGCAAGAAAAGTGGAAGGAGGAGGAGGAGGAGGAGGAGGCACTCACTGTACTTCCTGCTCAGTTTTCTTTCTATAAATTGGGACGGGGGCGGGGTGGACCCCGCTCGATGGTGCTCAGAGGTCCATCTTGGTTCTGTGCTTGGGCGTCACTCCTGGATAGGCTGGGAACGCGACTGTAGCAAGACATGTGCAAGGCAGGCCGCTTACCTGCTGTCTCAGCTCTCCGGCCGGGGCCTGTTTGATTAAAAGTGTGGCCCGGAGGAGGTCTCCCTTTCCCTGTGCTGCTCAGGATTTCTGTGACACGAAAACTTCCTCGAAAAGTCCTCTAATGCAAAATAACAAAGTAGTGGAAACTCTCTAAGACAAAACCCAGCTAAAGTTGCCCGTTGGAGTGAAACAGCGTCTTCGTCATCTGCACTCACACCAAAGGCCCAGATTTGCCTTGCTGGGAAAACCTTCCCTTCCACGGGGCCCTGAAGGGGGTCATTTTTCTGGGTGAAAGAAGAAGCAAGTGCGCTGGGGATTTTTGCAGGTCACTTTGGGGAGAGGTCCCCCCCCCCCCCCCCCATTGCCCTCAGTACCGTATCAACCTTCAGGGTTCCAGCCCGGAGCCAGCCACTGGGAAAGGCGCTTTCTACCTGCCAAACTGTCTCATTTCCCTGACACGATGGGTGCCCATGTTTGTTCCGCACCACAGGCCCAGGGTCACACCGCTGGCAAGTGGCCGCAACCTCAGGGGATCTGCTCAGAGACGGTCTCCTTTCGTTTGGGGGCCACCCCCGGCAGTGCTTAGGGCTGACTCCGGGTTCTGTTTGAAGGATCACTCCCGGTGGGTTTGCGGCCCCCGCCACAAGTTCTCACTTGGTCTCACTGCCAGAACGATCTCTGCCAGACTCCTTTCCCCCAGCCTTCACATAGGAGTGGTTCTGTCTGTTGGTGCTACTCAGAAGCAACTGGAACTGAAGTGAGGCTGAGGGCCGCACCAGACACGAAGGCTGGGGGGAGGGGAGGGGCATTCTAGGCCTTAGCTCCTGAAGCCTTCCTTTCAGCGGCTTGGAGGTTGTGGAGCCACACCTGGTGATGCTCAGGGGTCACTCCTGGCGGTGCTCCGGGGACCCTATGGGATTCCGGGAACTGAACCTGGGTCGGCCGCATGCAAGACAAGCGCCCTCCCTGCTGTCCTATCGCACTGTGATTGCCTCCTCACTGAGCTTCCAAGCAGCCCAGTTATCACCTCCTGAGTGAGGGGTACCCTGCGCTGTGCCGGGAAGCAGGAAGGGGCAGCTGGGGGCTGCCCACTGGGATGGAGGACATCTGTCCTGGGCTCTTCCTCTCATTTCCAGCCAGGAAAGAGGGAAGATGCAGAGCACAGAGACCCCCACGGGCAAACCGTCTGCTCGGAGAACAAAGGCAGCCTTCTCCCCACCCTGGATCCCTCTCCATACTACCTGTGGATATATTTAGCCTCTCCATGGGTATCTGTGGTTTGTCTCGGGATACCCAGCCCCTGGGTGCAGGCTTCTCCCCAGCTGGGAAGTAAACATGCGATCCAGGCCTGGCCAGTCACGGCATAGCACTCACTGGTGTGGGAAAGGGTGACCAGATCCAGCCAGAGGTGACCCTGGAATTGATCTGCCCTGGGGAATGTTTAACCCCAGGACTCTGTGCAACCTGAGATGGGGTAGGCTGCCATGATGCTCACAGAGCCCAGAGACAGGATGAACCAAATCTAGCTAACACCTGATCGAACCATTCCTGGAAACTGCCTCCCTGGCATCTGTTTTGTAGTGGTGGTTGTTTGGTGCAGGTTGGGGTGTTTATTCACTTATATCAACTCAAGTCCATTTAAAAAAATCACTTGTGATTTTAAGAATCTAAGGAGCTACGGAGATAACCTGAGGGGCAGAACATGCGCCCAGCACGTGCAGGCCTTGAGTTTGCTCCCTGGCAGCGCATGGCCTCCGGAGCACAACTGACGGAGCATTAAACCCTCGGGTAGGTCTGCCCCCTCCACCTACCCCAGCTCTGCTGGGTGTGGCATCCGCACAGGCATGAATCCAGGCAAGTAGCCCACACTCACTTGGGCCAGCACTGAAGGAAAGGCAGAGTTCATCCTCTCTGGGGACCGCCAAGCCAGAAGGTGAACACTGGACGCCAGCCTTTCCTCACCCTGATTCTGCTGCAAGACCAGAGGGGTTTGGAGCCCTAAGCTGAACCCAGGGCTGGAGCGATAGTCTTGCACAGTAGTACGTCACTGGCCTGGCACATGGCCAACCCAGGTGCGATCCCTGGCACCCCACACAGTCCTCCATCCTTCGGAAGGACCCCTCAACAGAGAGCCAGGAGTAAGCCCTGAGCACGGCACACCTCTAAAAAAAAAAGAAGAGCTGAGTTCAGGTCTTCAACTGGGAAGTGATGGGCCAAGGTCCCGGGGTCTCTGACATGGGGCCACCAGGATGCCCAGGCACTTCCTCCCAGCAACCTGAGCACAGCCCCTGACCCTCATAACGCTTCCTGGGCTGGGAACCGGGAGCACAACGGTCTGAGTGTTCATCTTCTGTTGCCTGCCTCATGCCCTCCCGTAGCTGCAGGCTGGGCAGTGGGGTGCCCCAGGCTCTTGGCTCCCTCTGGGCTGAGCCCTTGGCTGTCCCCGGGCCCTTCTCCCAAGGGAAGGGAGGTGGCCGGTTAAAAGGCAAGACAAGCAGGACCAACCACAGCTGCTGGGCGAGGTCTCCGGGGAGCCCGGTTCCCCAAAATACAAGCCAGCTGAGGTCAGCACCCAAGATGCCACCACTGCTCCAGTGTGGCCAGGGACTGGCGCAGGCGGCCAGCAGCCTGCAGTACTGGGCTTTCTGGAACAAAGGCCATCCTAGCGAGCGGGCACTCTGGCCTCTGTCAGTCTCCTGAAGGAGCGGCCTTGCCTGGGGGCCTCCCCTGCCTGGTCCCCTGTGATTTTTTGGGGCGGGGGAGATCACACCCAGTGATATTCCGGGGTTGTTTCTCCCTGTGGTGCTTGGGGGGTACCAGGGATCAAGCTGGGTTATAAAAATAAAAAAATTTGAGGGCCAGAGTGATAGTATAGCAGGGAGAGCGTTTGCCTTGCATGTAGCTGACCCAGGTTCGATTCCCAGCATCCCATAGGGTCCCCCAAGCACCGCCAGAAGTAATTCCTGAGTGCAAAGCCAGGAGCAACCCCTGAGCATCGCTGGGTGTGACCCCAAAAGCAAAAATAAATAAATAAAATAAAAAAAAATTCTAGGGGTCAGAGTGATAGAATAGTGGCAAGGGTGCTTGCGCTGCCCACGCCGGCCCGGGTTCAATCCCCAGCTTCACATAGGGTCCCCTGAGTACCACCAGGAGTGATTTCTGAGTGCAGAGCCAGGAGGACCCCCTGAGCATTTCCAGATATGGCCTAAAAACTAAAAAAAAGGAGGGGGAGAAACACAAAATTCCAGCCACATCCAGAGTAGGGAAGCAGTTGGGCCCACATACAGTTTAGGGGGGCCGGTAACCACGTTGGGGTGTGGCCTGGCATTCCTAAAGCCAGTGCCCATCCCTGCAGTCTCCCGCTGGCCTGGACCCTGGAGAGGAGGGGGCAGCTGTGGGCAGGCGGGAGCAGGGGCACCTGGCCCCAGGCCAACTGGGATGCCCCGCAGTGGGGTGTGGGGAAGTGGGGACATTCCAGCAGGGAGAAGGGCAGTGCCGGCCAGTCGGGAGGTGGGGGGCAAGGCCGCTCTCCAGCCTCAGCTCTCAGCTCAGTGGGGGCAGCTCAGTCTTTGGAGCAGCTTGGGAGCAGTGCCCAGGGCCCACTGCCCACTTCTGCTGTCCAGCACGTGTGTGGGGCTCCCAGAGGCCCCTGGGAGGATGACCGCCCCCCAGGCGCAGCTGCCAGTGCTCCGGCTTGCTCTCCTAAAGGCAGATTTCCTGGGGGGCGGGGGGCTGCTCTGAGTATGTTCTTCTGAAAAGGTGGTGGTGGGGGGACAGACCCTCTGGCCTCAAAGCTGTCATCTTCGTCGTGGACAGCACGGAAGCCTGACACGCCCCGTGGCCTGCGGTGATGGTCAGGACTGAGACTTGGTTCAGGGTCTGGCACTCTCCATGCTTGAGTGCGTGATGGGCTGCAACTGGCCAGCTGGAGCGGGTGGCGGTGCTGCTGGGGGTGGGGGGCGGGGGACGGGGACACCCACCGGGAACCCACAGCATAGTTTCGCTCTGTCTCCAGGACTCTGAGCCTAGCACGCAGCCTCGAGGACAGAGTCCGGGAGACACTTTCCCAGCACCCACATTCTCACTCACCTCCCGACTACCCGGGCATGGTGGCAGATGCAAGACCATCACCGCAGGCCATGGGGCGTGTCAGGCTTCGGTGCTGTCCACAACAAAGGTGACAGCTTTGAGGCCAGAGGCCCAAAAGGGTCTGTCTCCCCTACCACCACCACCTTTTCAGAAAAACAAACTCAGAACAGCACCCCCCACGCCCCCCTGGAAATCTGCCTTTAGGGGAGTGAGCCAGGTCATGGCAGTTGTGCCTGGGGGGATGGTCCTCCCCCATCCTCTGGGCGCACCACGGCCTATACCCCAAGTGCTTGCCAACGCTGCCCTCTGAGGCTCAAGGAACTTGCTGGGTTAAGGCAGGGGAACAGGAGTTTGGGGGGCAGATGCCACAGCCAACTGCTCTGGGGACCTCGCTGCCGACCCAATGGATTGGCTCATCTGGCTTTTTTTTGCTTTTTGGGTCACACCTGGCGATGCTCAAGGGTTACTCCTGGTTCTGTACTCAGGAGTCACTCCTGGAGGTGCTCAAGGTATACCCCATGGGATGCTGGGAATCGAACCCGGGTCTGCCACATGCAAGGCAAACGCCCTTCCCCCTCTGCTGTCGCTCCTGCCCCTCATCTGGCCCTTGATCTAAGGTCCAGGGCTCAGTCTCCCCAGTTGCTCCTTTGTCGGGACACCTCCCTAGCCAAGCCCCTGCACCTCGAGTCTCAGGCTCTGCTTTCAGGGGACCCCACTAGAGCACCTCAGCCAACACACCAAGAATTGTAGGCACTCCTCTCATCACACCGGTCTGTTACTCTGGGGATACATTCTCTGATTATTCTTCCTTTCTTTTTTGGGGGGCGGGGCTCACACCCAGCAGTTGTGAGCTTGGGGACTGCTCCCGGCTGCTTCAGGGGGCCATGCAGTGCCGGGAGGAAACCCAGGACTCCGGAAGGTCAAGAGCGTTAGCCCCTGGTCCTCTCCCAGACCCAGCCCTGAACACAGCCGGGTGTGACCCAAAATGCAAAATCGTCACCATAATAAAAAGCCGGCCCTGGAGACGGGGGTGCCCGCGGGGAGGGGAGGGGGGTCGCACGCCCAGGCGCGAGCTGCAGGCAGCCCCCTACCTGCGTTGTGCTCGTCCATGGAGAAGGCCTTGTTCTCCATGTAGGGCCTGGCCAGCTGCACGTCCTCCTCGAAGGCCGTCTCGCGCATGCGGGGCTGCGACGTGTCGAAGTAGTTGGGCGCGCTCTCCTGCGGCGAGGGCAGGATGGAGCAGTGGACCTCGGGGATGGCGTGGAAGACGACGAAGACCCAGCCGCTGGCGACCAGCGCGATGGCCAGCGTGGGGTCGGCCCAGGCCTCGGCCCGGCCCAGCTGCGCGTTGCCGAAGAGGTACATGGTGAGCCAGGCGGCCCAGATGAGCGCCGAGAGCGCGGCGGTGAGCAGCAGGCAGGCGCCGTTCTGCTTCCACTTCTTGAACTTGCCGCACAGCGCGCCCAGGGCCAGGCCGAGCGCGGCCAGCAGCAGGACCGCGTCGTAGGTGAGCGCCAGGGCGAAGTCCAGGCGCTCGTAGGCGCACGCGGGCTTGGCGTCGCGCAGCACCGTCAGCACCAGCCACTCCGCGGCGATGATGACCTGCACCAGCGTCAGGCACAGCGCCGCGCCCACCAGCTGCCAGCCCGACGGGCCCTTGCCGCGGCGCACCAGGCGGCGCACGCGCCACGCCTGGCCCAGCAGGCACGAGAAGCAGAGCGCGAAGAGCACCCCGCACAGGAAGCGGCGCGCGGCGCACACGGCCTCGGCCTCGCGGATGATGAAGGCGAAGGCCAGCCCGAAGAGGCCCAGGGTGCCCAGCAGGAAGAGGAAGTGCAGGCCCACGGGGTCCTTCTTCTCCTTGTCCTGGATGAAGGGCAGCCGCACCAGGAGGATGAGCATCAGGAGCAGCGCGATCAGCGCGCCGGCCCCCGCCACCGCCTCCACCACGATGCCCCAGACGGTGTCCAGGTCGCACAGGGACACGTACTGGGGCAGCAGGTCCAGCCCACAGCCCCGGGAGGTGCTGGCGTTCTCCGAGGCCCCCGAGGCGATCACAAAGAGCAGGAGGAAGACGAGCGCCTGGTGGGTTCTCATCTTTCCGGCTGAAGCCGCTGTCGCCTGCCGGGAAGTTCTGGAAAAGTGGGGGGGAGGGGAAGGGTCAGTTTGTTGGGAGACCCCCCTCGGGAGGGAAGCCCCGCTCCCCTTGTCCTCTCAAGCCCGTGTGCCCAGAGGGTGCCTCTGGGCCCGCAAGGGAAAGGAAGGAAGGGGAAGGGTCAGTTTGTTGGGAGACCCCTTCGGGAGGGAAGCCCCGCTCCCCTTGTCCTCTCAAGCCCGCGTGCCCAGAGGGTGCCTCTGGGCCCCGCAAGGGAAAGGAAGGAAGGGGAAGGGTCAGTTTGTTGGGAGACCCCCCTCGAGAGGGAAGCCCCGCTCCCCTTGTCCTCTCAAGCCCGTGTGCCCAGAGGGTGCCTCTGGGCCCGCAAGGGAAAGGAAGGAAGGGGAAGGGTCAGTTTGTTGGGAGACCCCCTCGGGAGGGAAGCCCCACTCCCCTTGTCCTCTCAAGCCCGTGTGCCCAGAGGGTGCCTCTGGGCGCCGCAAGGGAAAGGAAGGAAGGGGAAGGGTCAGTTTGTTGGGAGACCCCTTCGGGAGGGAAGCCCCGCTCCCCTTGTCCTCTCAAGCCCGCGTGCCCAGAGGGTGCCTCTGGGCCCCGCAAGGGAAAGGAAGGAAGGGGAAGGGTCAGTTTGTTGGGAGACCCCCTCGGGAGGGAAGCCCCGCTCCCCTTGTCCTCTCAAGCCCGCGTGCCCAGAGGGTGCCTCTGGGCGCCGCAAGGGAAAGGAAGGAAGGGGAAGGGTCAGTTTGTTGGGAGACCCCCTCGGGAGGGAAGCCCCGCTCCCCTTGTCCTCTCAAGCCCGTGTGCCCAGAGGGTGCCTCTGGGCCCCGCAAGGGAAAGGAGCTTTAGGGGCCTTGGTCTGTGCGTTCCTGGCCATTAGGAATCATGGTTTCCATGGCCGGGCACAGGCTGCAACGAGCCTCGTGTGTTCTTGGGATTGTGTGCTGCTCCACGGAATAAAATGGAACCTCCCAGACAGTCGGCTGAGCTCTGCTTACAGGCATGCGTCGCCCGGTTAGCCCCAGTGCCACTGACAAAGCTCACTGAATATGTAGCGGGCCCCAGAAATCCGGGTACTAGTCCCCAGTCCAGCCTCCCTCCCCCGAAGGCCAACCCCTCGGAGACGCCTGATGGTCTTTATAGTAGACCCCAAAGGACTAGATCCCACAGTTCTCCCGTCTCCAGCCCTGCCCCCAGACCCCAATCCGCCCAGGGAGTCTCTCGCTTGTGGGGATGCTACAGGGACACCCACAGGTGCCCCCCACATGGCCCCTTGTCTTTTTTAGGGGGATCACAGCCGGTGGTGCTTAGGTGTCCTCCTGGCTCTGCACTCAGGGATCACTGCTGGTGGTGCTCTGAGGACGCTGTGGGATGCCGGGAATGGAACCTGGGTGGGCTATGTGCAAAAGCCCTCCCCGTTGTGCTATGGCTCCTGCCAAGTCAAGCGGCCTCTTGCCTCGCCTGCTCCCTATCAAGCACACCCCAGTCCAGGCACACACACACACACAAAGAACAAAAAAAGGGGGGGCTGGAGCGATAGCACAGGGGGTAGGGTGTTTGCCTTGCACGCGGCCAACCCGGGTTTGAATCCCAGCATCCCATATGGCCCCCTGAGCACCGCCAGGAGTAATTCCTGAGTGCAGAGCCAGGGGTAACCCCTGTGGATTGCTGGGTGTGATGCAAAAAAACAAAACCAAAAAAAACCCTCCTATCTCCTTGGGTCCCAGTTCAGTACAGTGACCTCGGGCGGGTCAAGGGGCCGGGCACTCCTTCACCATCAGAACCTTCTTTCTTAGCTCACTGCCATTAATAATCATTATTTGCTTTGGGGCCACATCCCTGGCATCCTTCTGGCAGGGCTGTGGGGGGGAGGGGAACCACCTGCAGTGCAGGGGGTCGAACCTGAATTGGCAGCCTGCAGGCCTCTTCCCCGCTGTACTATCTCTGCACCCCTAATCATGCGGTTGGAGGTGCTGTTGGACCCACTGCAGGCCTAGTTCCAGGCTATGACAACTGGAAAGCCCTTAAGCCAGTGCCCCCCATTCACCAGGCTCTAACTGCTGGTGGAGGACCCACCAGCAATTCCCCCAGGGCTGGAGGTAGTCACGCCCCTACCCTAGCTCCGCTCCCTGATGTGGCAGCCACGGCCCCCTGGCCTTCAGCTGCTCCCGCAGGGGCTTTCCTAAGTAAAAGCGGCATCGACCACTTCCCTCTGCTCCTTGACGCTTGCGTCTTGCCTTGGCCGTGAGTCCATCAGCTGGGATAAATTATTGATGCTCCCGGATGAGGAGTCTGAACGCGAGTGCTGCTGCCTTGCCCGCGGATGAGAGGAGGCAGACTAGGGAAAGGAGGCCGGGTGCCACTCCAGTGGCCCCTCCTCGCCAAAAGGGGGCCGTGGGGGTGGGGGGCAGGATCCACATTAGTCACCAGGAGAGCCACAGCAGTGATTTGCACAACACCTGGGGTTATTTACTTGACTGACTCACCAGGGCATCAACTCTCTTGAAAAGCCAAAGGCTGAATTACAGGGTCTGTTGCAATCCCCAGATGGATGCGTTGGTGGGACTCACTTGAGTCGCAGGGCCAGCCTCCAGGCACATCCCAACACGGCACTTTCAGAAAAAAATGCCTCCTAGACAGAGGGCCACCCCCCAACCCTGTGCAAGGGCCCAGGAGCATCCTGGGGATCCCGACCCAAGGACCAGAGGTGTCGGAGCACAAAGCCACCAGCACCCCCCGACATGGTCAGGGTCTGAGGCAGAGCCCTCCTCAGACAGTTTATCAGTGATAAGCAGCCCTAAGAGGTTTCTCAGCGAGTCACACTGGGTCTCCTGGGTCACAGCCTCCAGCCTCACCACTGGTGGCTGTGCAGAAATCAGGGAATCTTAACTAGTGGTCCTCAACCAGGGACGCTGATTATATAATATAATCCCCATCCTGTCCCCCCCTTTCTCCCCAGGAAACTGGCTCTGCCTTTCGGCCTCATGCCAGCACCCGAGGGTGCTCCTTGCCAGAGGTGGTCCTCACTCGCTCTCCTGGAGGAGAATGCCCTCTCCAGGCCTGGCCACAATGTGGCACTTGGTGTCCCCAGCTCCTGCCCCCTTCCTGACTGGCTTTGCAACCCTGCTCTGGCTCCTACTGCCTTCTCGGTGCAGAATGGCTCCACTCCGGCGCTCTTCCTCCATCCTCAGCGGGGAAGCCTCTCTTTCAGTCCATTGTGGCTCAAGGTCGCTTTCTCTCCCAGCTCTGCAAAGTGGTCCCCACTTTCCTACAGGGAGCCTCCTCCAGATGGGGGCCCGGCCACCGGAGCCAGCCTGGCCAACCAATCAAAGCATCAATCTGACCCTGGAGCCACAATGATTGGTTCACGGATAGTCTCAAAACCCAGACATGGAGACTCAGGTCCGGGATTTTTGCTGGAACTAACTGGAAGGAATTCTCTTTTTGTTGGGTTGATAAGCTGAAAGGACACAGGCCTAGGGCCGGAAAGAACTTGTTAATCAGAACATCACTGCCCTGTAGTAAAATACACCCAGAGGAAAAGGACAAGGAATCGGTACAGCCTTAATACACAAGGGCAGCTGGATTCAGCTATGCTTGATGCAAGGTCTCCACAGGGCTGGCAGCAATTAACCTGTCCCTTGGGGATTAAACCAAAGGGGCTGCGATTCAATCAGTCCCTCACCAACAAAGACAATTCTCTACATTATATTGCCGCTTCTTCCAGGAAGTCCTCCTTACCCCACATTTAGGCATGTGGCTACAACCAAGGGCCTGCCAGAGGCTTTCATCTGATCTAATTGCCTGCAGGGGGGTCCCTCTCATTGCTAAACCTGTGAGGTGACAGCCTCTCTGGAGCCATCCTGGGCTGGGAATGTGCCAGGCAAGCACCTCCGGCTCTGTATGATTGCTCCAACCCCTTTTATTGCTTCTTCTTCTTCTTCTTCTTCTTTTTTTTTTTTTTTGCTTTTTGGGTCACACCCGGCAATGCACAGGTTACTCCTGGTTTCCTGTCTCATGCACTCAGGAATCACTCCCAGCGGTGGTCAGGGGACCCTATGGGATGCTGGGAATCGAATCGGGGTCAGCTGCGTGCAAGGCAAGCGCCCGCCCTGCTGTGCTATTGCTCCCACCCCTCTTCTTGCTTCTTAAGAGGGAACGGAGGGCCTGGGAGGTGGGGTCCTTGAGTTCCTCAGCAGTGCCAACTCCCAGCCATCCCAATCCAGCACTGTCCGCCCCCAGCCTGAGCGGGTTGGATACCAAGGGCCCGGCACCCTTAGGTGGGAGACGTTCCAATGGAGATGGCAGGGGGACGCGCATCCCGGCCCTGCAGAGCCCACGCACGTTCCCGAGTCTGTTGGCTGAGCCCCGCCAGCCACCTGGTGCTCCCCCCTCAGCAGCTCTCCAGGCGCCCCCAAATGAGCCGTCCCAGATTAGAGGTTTCGAGTTAGCCTGAGGCAGGATTGATGGGGACAGGAGGAATAGATGCCGACAGACCCGTGGGACGGGGGCGTGCGGCTCTCCAAAGGAGCCCTGAATAAAAGGCAACCAGTGTGCAAGGCTGGGCGCACATACTAATCACCTTTGCTGCCAGCCACTCGAGAAGTGACCCATTTGGACGCACTTAACCCACACAGGGTCTCTCGGGAGCACACGCATGCACGCACACAGACAGACAGACAGATGGAAAGACGCATGCACGTACACAGACACACATGCACACACAGACCCTTGCATCAGACAGACACATGCAGAGGCCCATGCACCAAACAGATACACACACAGACCCATGCACACACACAGACATACAGAGACCCATGCGTGCACACAGCCCATGCATGAACAGATCCATGCACACGCACAGACCCAGACACATGTACACATGGACCCATGTATGCAGAGACTCGTGCACACACAAACACATGCACGCAGACCCATGTAGGTACACACACACACACACACACACACACACACACACACACACACACACAGACCCATGCATGCGAGTGCACAGACACAGGCAGACCCTAGAGGACCCAGAAGCCTCTGCAAGGGTAGGACAGGGCCCCTGCTCGGAGCTGAGGCTGCAGAGGTGCCAGGTGCAGGTGGGGTCCCGGAGGCAGCTGCGAGCACAGGGGTCTGAGCCCAGCCCTGTCCCGTGCCCAGCAGCGAGACCCCTGAGACTACCTGGCCTCTGGTCCTGACTCCCCTTCCTCCTCTCACACATGCCCCTTGCTGACTCGACCAGGCCAGCCTTAGTCTCCCCATCTGCAGACTGGCGCTGCTAACAGTTCCCATTGCGTGGGGTGCGCCCCGAACTCACTTAGTGTGAGGATGGCGGGGGCACAGGGGGACCAGGTCAGCAAACAGAACTTTCCTGATGAACTTTCCCAGGCCCAGGTCGGGCGCTCGCTGTGGAGAGGAAGTTGGAAGGGAGGTGGGGAGGTGACCCAGGTCTCTGTCCCCAGGCCCCCTCTTTGATCTACTAAGCAGAGGGGCCAGGGGTTGTCAGGGCAGGAGCCGCAGCATGTGGTCTGTCCAGGGGACCCACATGCTGCAGCAGGCTCCCTGGGAAGGGGGTCTGTCAAGGGGCACCCTAGAACCTAGAACCAGCCTGGGTTCCCCAGCAACCAGACCCTGCCATCCTCTTGGGAGTCAGTTCCCCGTGCCTGCCTACCCCTCGCCCCTGCCATGGGCAAAGGGAGCTAAGATGCTCCAGATAGCCAGCCCTCTGGCCAGCTTCACTGGGAGGCCCCCAGGTGCACCCGGGAGAAAGGTGAGGGGTGGGGTGGGGAACCACGAGAACCGAACCACGTTCTGGGCATGGAAGAACCAAACCATGTCCTGTGCATTCTGGAACCTCTGTGACCCTCTGACTTGAGAATGAAGCACAGGCAGGAGCCTCCTTGGCACAGCTCCTGAGAGGTACCGGAAAAGGACCCCGCAGTGTAGAGGGTACACAGGAGTTCCCAGGCCCAGCACCCCCCTAAAAGACCCTCATGGTACTCGTCTTGTGAGGGGGAAATGGCCGAAAGAGAGACGAGGCGGCTCCAGGCCTCGCGGGGATGGGCTCCCCGGGACTGGGAGGGGTCCATTTCCCATAACTTCTAACCCCCAGGCCTTTCCAGTGCACCCTGAGTCTGCACCCCCCACTCCGTACCAGGCGGGGGGGCCAGGCTGGCTGTCTCCCTCCACCCCCGCATCATCCCAGTCCCAGCCAAATCCTGTTCTAGCCTCAGCCCCCTGCCTGTCCCGCAGGAGACAGACCGAATTGGAAAAAGGTTTCCCGTCTTTTCCAAACCCGCAGTCTCACCCAGACAGGGTGTCCGAGCCATCCCACCTCAATAAACTCATTTCCCAGCGCCTCCAGACCACCGGTCTACCCAGAGTCCCCCCACTAGCCTTCAACAACCCTCTGAGGTTAGTAAACAGGCTGGCCAGAAACTCAGGCTCGAGATAAATGAATATGCAAAGTAGCTCCTATGCTGTAAATAAAAGCCGTCATTTAGATGCAAATTGCATCCCTGGCCGCTCGTTCCGGGGTGGAAGGTTCCTCTGGGGCTGTAATTCGAGTAGAAAATGTGAGGGACTCAGAACCCCTAGGAAGCTGGGGGTGCAAGCGTCCAGGGGCGCTGGGGGGGCTGTTTGCTGCAGAGGTGCTCACGAACTGCTTCGAAGTGGGGAGTGGGTCAGAACCGGAATCACTTTGTGAATAGGCTCATAGAAGTCCCTAGGGGCTGGAAGAGCCCCCCCCCCCACCCCTCACCCCAGGGCCCGGGCCCCACTCCTAACCCTGGGCATCCCCAAAAGGCAAGAATGAAGGATTCGGCAGGGGTGTGTGTGTGGGGGGTGCTCTTCTTGCTAGCTCCTTGCTGAGACCAGATGCTTGCTCCTTCCCGCTCAAATGCATCCTTCCAAGGACCCGCGGGTTCGAGGCAAATAAGCCTTCCCGTGACCCCGAAAGCCCATCTGGCTGGCCCAGCCCTCCGGCCTCCACCCCCACCGGCCTTGCATCTGCCTAGGGGAGCCGCCACAATAGTCTTTGTTCACTCACTCCAGGCTCGGCTCCTCCAAACGGTGCCCTCCGCCTGGTCCCGGCCCTCCCCCAGATCGCCCGGTCACTTTTGCCTCTCCCCGTTTTCTAAGCCCCGACCGCGCCCCGCGCCCCCAGCCCTCCGCGCAGCCCGCAGCGTGCCAGGGCCTCCGCGCCCCCCAATCAGGACACACGCTCCGTCAGCCCGAGTTGACCCGGCGCCCCGCGAGGGCAGGAGGGGGGTTCACCGCGCCCCTTCCCCGCCCGTCCCCACTCCCAACTCGTCCCGGGCGCGCGCGGGGCGCAGGGGACCCGCGCTCGGCCCACGGAAGCCGATCTGCATGCGATTTACATGCCACTGGCACGCGGCGGACCTCCGCAGCCCCCCACGACCATCCCTCCGCAAGCCCCTTCCCAGGGAGGAAAGTTGGGGGGCGAGGGCTCGCGGTAGGTCCCCCGGGCTGGAGTCCCAGGGCTGCGGGACCCCCGCATCCCCTGGGCTGCGCGCGCTCGGGTCGCCCAGGGGAGCCCCTCTCCGCCCCACCGGACACCCCGCGGGCCCGCCACACTCCGGGGGCCTTTGTCCGCGCGCCGAGGAGACACCCCCTTTGAGGAGAGGAGTTCGGGTGTTAAGGGGTGCTGGGTCCGGCCGGAGGGTGACAGGGCCGGCCGGGCACGGCGTCCGGGAGCCGCAGTGGGGTGTCCTCCGCGCCAAGGTCGGGGCCTCGCTCACCACCCCCCGCCCCGCCCGCCGCGCGTCCGGCGCCCGGGAGCCCGTGTCCCCTGTGCAGAGGGGACGCAGCGCTGACAGTCCTCACACGGTCTGGTGGGCACCGAGACCCCTGCCACTGTAGGCAGCCCCCCTTCTCGGCCGTAGCCCCCGAACTCCGCGGCCTCTGCAGTGCCCCCCCCGCCCGGGGCTGGGGGCGCGCAGCCACGGCCGGCCCGGAGCGCGGCCCCCTCCATCGGCCTAGCCAATGGCCAGCCCCCCACCCGGGATCGCCACGCGCCCCCCGCCTGCCGCTCGGGCTCCCCGGCTGGTTTCTCCTTACAGCCCCCTGCCCGTCCCCTGCCGTGGCCCCCAGACCCTCCTCGGACACGCGTTCTCCCACCCGGCCCGGGTCCTCAGAGCCGCTGCCCCCATCCGCGGACCCCCTTCCCCCAAGTCTGGGACCCCGGCCCTCCCCTCCCTGCGGGCCGCTGCGGCTCCTATCCCGCCGCACTCTGCCCCTCTTCCCCCGCATCCCAGCTTCTCCGGCGGGCTGAACGCAGAAACCCGAAGGGGGCCCCCAAAGACCCTCCCCCGGTGCCTCCAAGGTCCACGGCGGGAAAAGTTTCCAGGGTCCCCGCGGCGCCCTCCGCCCGGCAGCTGCGCTCGCACTCACCGACCCCCGCGGCCCGCAGCGCCGACGCTCCCTGGCCCGCGGCCCGAGTCACATCTCTGCAGCGCGGCCGCGGCCCCCGCCCCGCGCACGCCAGCCGCCGCGCCGGCCTCTGCGCCCCGCTGCTGCCGCCGCCGCCGCGCCGCGCGCCCCCTGGCCGGGCCCGCGCCGCTGCAGCCCCGCCGCCGCCCCGCCCCGAGGGCCCGCCCCCGCCCCGCGCGCGGAGACCCCCAGCAACCAGGCACGGCCCGCCCCGCGCGCGGAGACCACCCCCCTACACCAGGCAGGGCCCGCCCCCCGCCAATCCCCGCCCCGCGCGGAGACCCGCCCCCCGCCCCACACGGGGCGGGGTCCTCCCCCGAGCACGGAGACCACCCCCACCACCGGGCAGAGCCGCCCGGCGCGCGGAGACCCGCTCCCTCCACCAGAAAGGCCCGCCCCGCGCGCGGAGACCCCCTCTCCACTAGGCAGAGCCCGCCCCGCGCGCGGAGACCCCTTCCCTCCACCGGAAAGGCCCGCCACGCTCGCGGAGACCCGCCCCACACGAGGCAGGTTCCTCCCCCGAGCACGGAGACCACCCCCACCACCGGGCAGAGCCCGCCCCGCGCGCGGAGACCCCTTCCCTCCACCGGAAAGGCCCGCCACGCGCGCGGAGACCCGCCCCACACGAGGCAGGTTCCTCCCCCGAGCACGGAGACCACCCCCACCACCGGGCAGAGCCCGCCCCGCGCGCGGAGACCCCCTCCCTCCACCAGACAGGCCCGCCCCGCGCGTGGAGACCCCCTTCCCCCAGGCAGGCCCGCCCCGCGCGCGTGCAGTTCCGCGCTCACACACCAGCGCAGCTCTTGGTTCTCCACTCATCGATCGTGCCCCAGTGTCCAGTTCAGGGACCCTCTCCCCACCCCAGCCGCAGTGCCCCCCGTATTAAATCGCCCAGACACACGACGTTTGACCCTTCTCCAAATAGCCGCGCGCGTAAGTGACCCCCCGCGAGAGCTCCTCTGGGACCCTGCCCTGCTCAGGACCGGCCACCTGGGCTTCGTGAGCCGAAACTTCCCACAACATTCCCACAGCGTTTCCAGGCTGCAGCGGGGATTCCTCCAGTCATCAGTGTCGTGTATGCAAACGGGGCTCGGTGTCCCCCTGCAGGGCGGCACCAGCAACCACCACCAGACCGGCCGAACACAGGGTGCCCCTCCCGTGGTCCCCTCACAGGATCCTGCCTCCCCTGTGAGAGCACCCAGACTTCCTCTGCCCTGCACGGGGCCACAGTCCCGGAAGTGCCTGGTGGCCGCAGGACAGCGGTTCCGAGGTCGGCACTGGCCACCCCCTCCCGCTGTGTTCCAGCAGTCCCTGCACCCCCCCAAGCCAGGGTGACCTCAGACCAGCTGTCCCCAAAGCAGAGAAGCCCCTTCAACTGACTTCTCAGAATGAGCCCCTTTCTCTCTCCACCAGGTTCCATCACATAGTTGCCCCTTTCTGTCCACCCCAAGCCATAGGGGCACCCTGGCACCCTTTGGGGGGAGGCCCTGATCTCTGGGAACTCAGACTTTTCAGTTTCTCCTTCCCTCCAGGGACCCTGACTCTCCAGCTTCCGGCTTAAGTCAATCAGCCTTGCCCGGCTTTCTTCCCTGGGTGGTCTGGGGTCCTCTAATACTTTCCTTGTTTTGTGGGGGTGAACTCCCTGCGGTGCTCAGGAGACTCTGAAGGAAGTGCTCAATTCTTGGCCAGCAGAGTTGGTGGGTCAATGAGAGGAACTACAACTGCCTTAGGTGGGGCTCCCGACCTCAGCCATGGTTGCTGGATCTGGGGGTGTCTTCAAAGCTGCACCCCCAGGTGTTTGCTCCCACAAACACTCACCTGCTGTGTTATTGCTCCTACCTCTATTTTTATGTTTTTAAGGAAAGGGGAAAGGGAAGAATTTGGACAGAAACTCACTTCAGTTGCCCAGCTAGCCTCAGACCGCATACAGCTGGCGCTCAATGTTTGCAGGGCCCTCCCCAAGGAAGTGGTCAGACTGTCCAACTGGAAAGTGGGTGGGCACTGCCACCTGGCGGTCACTAGCAGGATGGACACGGAGCTCTTTCCCCCTCCTGGTTGACCTGAGGGGTGGTTTTCCTCCAGAGGATATTCGTGCCTATTGTCACAAAATTCTCGGAAAAGCTCCACACATAGCTCTGGCGGATGGAAAGCTCTTAGCATGCGTTACAGTTATATTCCGTTTCCAGGCTTACTTTTACGGGGAAGTCATCAGCCTGGGGGGACAGACCCTTGTGGGGTTTTTTTGTTGTTTGTTTTTGCTTTTTGGGTCACTCCCGGCAATGCTCAGGGGTCACTCCTGGTGGTGCTCGGGGACCACATGGGATGCCGGCGATCGAACCCCGGTGGCCACATGCAAGGCAAACGCCCTCCGCGCTGTGCTATCGCTCCAGCCTGTGTGTCCTTAAACTTCAAAACAAACAAAACCAACCAAACCGGGGGATCCAACCCGAGACCTCACCCCGGCAAGGCTGAGCTCTGGCACCCAACCGCATCCCGCCCCACCCACTCCCAGCCGGTCTCTGAAGTAAGCAGGCGTGACAGCCCTTATGGCCACCCTTCTAATTTTGCTGGCTACATTTTTTTTTTTTTTGCAGGATTGCGTGAAAAGAATCTGTTCCTTTGGCAAAGCGTTCCCCCTCCCTGGCCTCTGTTGGGGCCCTTTCCTGGCCCGCAGGCCGAAGGTGGATGCAAATCCTAGCTGGGGCCGCTGGGGGAGGGGCTTGCCCCTTGCTGCTCTAGACTCCAGGAAGAGCAGGACCCCTTCGGACCCGGGGCCCAGAGTCATGAGGGACGCCCCCTTCTCCCTGCGAGGCCTGGGAGTGGCCTCCGGGATGGGGGTAACGATTCTGGGTCTGCTGGGTGGGAGGAGAGGTGAGAGGCTCCCATGTCGTTGGGCACTCGTGTCCCGGGTTCTGCATCTGCGATGGGGGTGAAGGGTGAGCGCCAAGCGGGCGGTTGGGTGTCAGGGCGCACGCGCGTGTTCATGTGTGTGCGCACAAGTACGTGTGCATGCGTGTGTGCGTACACGTGAGCGCACGCGCGCGTGTTCGACTGTGCGTTGTGTGTGTGCGTGCACGTGCGCGCGTGTCTGAGTGTGCGTGTGTGCGAGCCCTGTGGGTGTGGTCGGAGCGGTGCAGTGGATCCAAGGATGCGTGCGCCCGTGACCGGCGTGGCCTCACGCTGCAGTGGCCCCAGAACGCGCCCCTTGGAGACCTTCTCTGCCCACGGCAGCTACCCTCGCGCGCCTGAGCCCTGGCATCGCCACTTCGTCTGCACCAGTTCAGCTTCGCGCGATTTTTCTGTTTTGCTTCGTTTTTGTTTCGGAGTTACGCCCCATGTTGGCTCCTGGTGGTTCTGGGGGACCATGCGGTGCCGGAGGTCCCGCCCCCGGGGTCCTGCTTGCGAAGCCCGCCCCCCTCTCCCTGCGTCCTCTTCCATGCCACCCCGAGTGCGTCGTCCTCTCAGTCCCTCTGCCTCTTGCATCACCAACCTGGCCTCTTCCCTGGCAGGTTGACCTTCCGGGTGCACGCGCGGCGCCTCGCCCATCTCCACTGGCCGCGGGTGCGGGGGTCTTTCCTGTTAGGGGTAATGAGTAATGAAGGCGGCAGGGCACGTGCCCACATCGTGGCCCCGTTCCACAGACGTGGCAGTGGAAGCCCAGGAAGCTAGTCTGAGTCCTGGGCACTGAGACCCGGGCTGCCCCTCCAGAGCCGCTCCGGAGGCCAGCCTGGTGCAGCCAAGCCCCCCATCCGCTGCCTCCCCCCCCCCCCCCTCTTGTCTCATTTCTCAAAGACTTTGGCCCCTGTGGACGGATGTACCAGAGGGTCAGTCCAGGGTGTTGTCACCTAAGGGGAGGGGAAGCAGGGCAGTGTATGGGGGGCGCAGGGGTGGGGAGCGCATCGGGGCGCAGGGCAGGGAGAAGCCAGGACAGCAGGACAGTGGTGGGAGCTATCCCAGGAACGGAGAGGGGGTTCCTCCGGCCGGGCACCTGGTCTCCTGCTGCACCTCTTCAGCCCCTACAGTCTTTCTCGCAAACACCCTGAGTGGAGGGAGTTTCTGCTGCTGAAAGGCACAGCCCAGAATCACCCATGGAGCCTCGAGCTGCCTAAAGAGCCCAAAGGTCATAAGTTAAAGGTCAGAGGACAGGACTCAGATACCTGCCGCAGGAGGCAGGTGCAGAGCGGGATGTGGGCGGAAGTGTCCTGTCGGCCTAGTCCCACCCGATGACCCTTGGGTCGCTCACCCCTGAGTGCTGTGGTGTCACCGAGGAGTCAGCCACTCGCCTCAGCTGGGTCCTTGTTCGCCGGGTGCCGTGGGTACAGGCAGGAAACAGGGAAGCGGGACACTGGCCGGGCTTCCCAGCAGCTGCCCGGCTGATGTGAGGTGAGGTGGCTGCACCTGTGCGGTGAGTGTGTGTGTGAGCCTGTGCGACTGTGTGCATATGTGAGCACGTGTGAGTGTTTGTGTTCATGAGTGTATGTGAGTGTGTGAGCACGTGTGAGTGTATGTGAGTGTGTGTTCGTGAGTGTGAGCATTTGTGAGTGTGTGAGCATGTGTGCGAGCATGTGTGTATGTGAATGTGTGAGAGTGTTTGTACGTGTGAGTGTGTGAGCATGTGTGTGAGCGTGTGTGAACTCCCTCCCTCCCATTTCTCCTCATCAAGGTAGTCAGATGTGAGCAGAGAGGCCCGTCCTTTCCACGTCGTGGCATTTTCCTCCTGCTGGAGGCCCAGAGAGACGGGGATTTTCCCAGCTAGTGGGGCGGTCTTGAGTGAAGTTTGAGTGGTCCCCCAGGTGCTGGAACTTGGGGGAGAGGCTGTTCCCATACAACACGTAGAACCTTCCAGGGTCAGGGCTGGAGCGATAGCACAGGGTAGGGTGTTTACCTTGCATGCGGCTGACCCAGGTTCGATTCCCAGCATCCCATATGGTCCCTGAGCACCGCCAGGAGTAATTCCTGAGTGCATGAGCCAGGAGGAACCCCTGAGCATCGCTGGGTGTGACCCAAGAGGAAAAAAAAAGAATCTCCCAGGGCCCTACAGCATTTGTGCCCCCTCTCCTGCCCCTGACCCCAGGTGATGCGTCCTGCCA